TTTTGTCATTATTTCTTCAAATAGGTTTTCAATATCTTGCTCTCTCTCTTCTTCTGGCACCGCTATAATTCAGATGTTGGTACACTTGAAGTTGTCCCAGAGGCTCCTTACACTATCTTCATATTTTTGGATTATTATTTTTTTTCCGGTTGGGTGTTTTTTGCTTCTTTGTATTTCAAATCTTTGACTTGATTCTTGCGATCCTCTAGTCTGCTGTTGGAACTCTGTATAATATTCTTTATTTCAGTCAGTGTATGCTTAATTTCTAGTTGGTCCTTTTTCATAACCTCAAGGGTCTCACCAGATTTCTTGTTGGTCTCACTAAATTTATTAGTGGTTTCTAGAAAATTCTTGAAAAACCTTAGAAGTGTGGTTTTGAATTCTATATCCAGTAGTTTGCTTTCCTCCATTTCTGTCATTTGTGACCTGTTTCTTTGTCTCCGCATTTTTTATGCTTCCCTGTGTTGATAGAGTAGCTTTTTGTGCTAGGTGTCCTATAGGGCCCAGTGGCTCAGCCTCCCCAATTACCTGAGGTGGACACTCTTGGTGCACCCCTTGTGGGCTGTGTGCACAGTCTTGTTGTAGTTAAGCCTTGATTGTTGTAGGTATCACTGAGGGAATTTACCTCCAGGCCAACTGGCTATGAGAATCAGCTGTGTCTACAGTGGGAGAACTTCTGTGCTGGAGACACCCTTAGGGGCAAGACTTGCTTCAGTGGGGCTTTCGTGTTCACTGAGTCTGCCAGCCCTGAATGTGTCCCTTATGGATCTGTGTAATCTGTTGTAATCTGGATGGTCCCACTCTGACCACTGGGTACACTGGCTCTTGGATCTAAGGAGGTGCTAATTTAGCCTCTGCCTGAGGCTACCCAGCAGGAGCTATGGAGAGATCTGCAGATTCCTCTTCTTTGTTTGGGGTTTGGAGGTGCCCAGATGAGGCCCAGCTGTGAAGCAATGCAAGCAATGCAAGCTGCTGTGGGGCCTTGGGCCTTCTTTTGGAAGTTCTGGGTCTCTCTGACCCAGCTGCAGTTTGTTAGGTAATTTTCAGATTGCAAAGGGCCAGGCCTTTCATATGCAAAAGCCTCTGCGCACAGCTTGGGTGGGGCGGGGTCTCAGGGAATCAACAGGGTGGAGCAGCTATGGCTGATCCTCAGCCCTGCCCTAAGAGGCCTCGGGTCTCAGTGTCCCACAGTAATCGCTGCAAGCACCTCTGAGAGAAAGCCGCCCGCGAGTTCCGACCGATGCCAGACAGTCCAGTTTCTCCCCGTGTGAGTCTGGGTCCCCAAAGACTCGCCCTGGAGTTCAGAGCAGTCGGGAGCTTGAGACTCCCTCCTGATTGAAAGACAACCGTGTCCTCAGCTGCCAGCCCTTTCCGCGTGCGCCTCCGTACCTCTGCACTTTACTTCCGCACCTCCTCTGAGTCTCAGTGTGCTTTCCTCTTTCCTTCCAGTTGTAGAATTTTCACTCAGCCAGCCTTCCTGTGGTTCTGGGTGATGTCCGTTTTGTCTTTTAGTTGTATTTTTGAAGTGGTTGTGCGAGGCAGCAATTTCTGGTGTTTACCTACGCCGCCATCTTGGTTTCTCCGATAGGATGAACTTGATCAGCAATGATACTTAGATTTGTTGTGCTATTCAGACATTGTTCCACACAAATTAAAGGGCCCAAATCATGCCAGGAAAACATGCCCCAAACCATAACACTGCCCCCACCAGCTTGAAGGGTTGTACTCATGCATGTGGGGTGCATGCTTTCATGCTGTTTCCGCCAAATTCTCACTCTGCCATCTGCATGATGCAACTGGAAACATGATTCATCGGACCACATGACTTTTTTCCAATTCTCAACTGTCCAATCCTTGTGTTCCTGTGCGAATTGGAGAAGTTTTATCTTGGTAACTGCAGACAGCAAAGGTGTTTGAACAGGCCTTTGGCTTCCATATCCCATACGATGCAGTGTACAGCTAATTTGCCTATAAACGTCAGGTGGTCATTATAATCTGGCCATTCAGTGTAAATGTAAAGAGAAAAATTTTAAATGATGGGCTATGATGTCATTAGTATTGAAAAGTAAATATGAGGCTTATGTTTTTGTCATTCAGGCCCTGGCCAGTGTTGCTAAGTAGTTAGAGCATTGGCCTGTGCACCAAAGGGTTTGGGTTCTATTTCCGGTCAAAGGTACTTACCTAGGTTGCAGGACAGATTCCTCAGCCCTGATTGGACACTGTGGAAGGCATCCAATTGATGTGTCTCTCTCACATCGATGTTTCTCTCTCTCTTCCCCTCTCTCTAAAATCAATAAAAACATATTTAAATTTTTTTCAGTGGTAAATTCTGTTGTGCATATTTTACTGCAAATAAAAACAACCCACTGGCCTCCCAGTATGTTTACAATTAAATCCAAACTTTGCATGATGGCAAGCAAGAGCCGTGACCGGTGCCCTTCTCCGGGTGCGGCTCAGCTGGTTGGGCGTCATCCTTTGCACTGAAGGGTTGCTGTTTAATTCCCTGATCACAGATGGGGGCCGTATAGGAGGTGGACAATTGATGTGATCGCTCTCACACAGATGTTTCTCTCTCTCTATCCCTCCCTCTCGCTCTCAAAAATCCAATAAAGATCTTTTTTTTTTTAGTTCCTTTGTAGTGCTTATTATTTGCAATACAGTACCTTGTCTTATTTATATACTGGCTTATCACTACTCTCCCCCCTTCCGCCACTCAGAGGTAAGTTCTAAGAGGATTCCTGTTTCAGTTTTCCCTGCTATATCCTGACACACAGAGTAGTTCCTAGTACATGGTAAATGCTTACTAAGTTTCTGTTAAAGAGATAAATGAGAACGAGCAGACAGCACTCATCTTGTGCTTCATGCTGACCTTGGTGGCAGTGTTGTGCTTGACACACTGTGCCTGGTTCTGCTCCCCCCTCCCTGGTGGCACCTCCTCTCCAGCTCCACCTTCTCTTTGACCCACCCCTCCCCAGTACTGGTCATCCCTGGCCTTCACACCCTCCCACTCCTGACTGCCCCTTGCCCAGCAGTCAGGCTCCCTTGCTCCAGCTATCTGTGCTTGAAACCTCTGGGACTTACTTGTTCACAGCTCATATTGGCAGTCACTGAGCCATGCAGCTACTATGGCAGAAACCTCTCATGAGTATCTTTCTTCCCAATTCCAAGGTCAGGAAGCAAGAAAACATCTCGCTCTTTAGCTTGGTCCCAGCTCCTGATCAGCTCTGGGAGCAGGTGTCCAACGGTCTCTAGTAACCGGTCTCCTCCTACAGGTCATACTTTACACTATTTACAAAGACATCTGTAAAAAAATTTTTTTAATTGATTTTTAGAGAGGGAGAGGGAGAGAGAAAGAGAAACATCAATGTGCAAGCAGAACATCAATCAGCTGCCTGCTGCACACCCCCTACCAGGGATCAAGCCCATAATATGGGCATGTGCCCCGACCAGGAATTGAACCAGCAACATCTTTGGTGCACGGGATGATGCCCAACCAACTGAGCCACACCCGACAGGGCCAAAGGCATCTTCTGAGAGTACCTATCAAACAACCCTGCTTCTAAGAACTTTCTCTGGCTGCTCAGGGTAATCCTTAAGCTCCTCTGCTGGGATCTGTTGGCTCTTCCAGCCTGGCATCCACCTCACTGCTGCATCTTCCGTTACTCATTATCTAGTTCTTTTCTTTTTAATTGGTTTTAGAGCCCTGGTCGGTTGCTCAGTGGTTAGAGCATTGGCCTACAGTCCCAAGGGTCTTGGATTCAATTCCCAATCAAGGGCACGTACCTTGGTTACAGGCTTGATCCCTGGTCCCGATCAGTGTGTGAACAGGAAGCAGCCAATTGATGTGTCTCTCTCTCTCTCTCTCCCCTCCATTGTCTCTAAAAAAATCAATGGGGAAAAAATATCCTCAGATGAACATTTTATAAAATTAGATTTTAGAGGGGGAGAGAGAGATCTATTGGTTGCCTCCTGGATTCACCCTGACTGGGGATGGAACCTGCAACCTGGGTGTGTGCCCTGACTGGGAATCAAACCTTCCACCTTTGGTGTATGAGTACGACACGATGCTCCAACTGAGCCACACCAGCCAGAACCATTTCCTAGTTGTTTGTTTCAGTCACACTACTGTTCCTTATACATGTCTATCCCGGCTGAAACCTTTCTCATCCTTCAAGGCTGATTTAAACCACTTCCTCCAGGAAACCTTCCTTGTTTCAGAAGACTTGCCCAGGTCTCTTCTTGCTCTTCACAAACTATTTTGTATTGATTAGAATAATAATAAAAACTGGTGCTTATTAAATACTAACATGCAAGGTAATCTACATTATCTTACTTAATCCTACAGCAATTAGAGGAGGCAGGTTTTATAGCTGAAGAAACTAAGGCACAGGAGGTGACCTGGGGCAAGAGGTGGCTTGCCTGAGGCTGCACAGCTAAAAAGCAGGTGCGTGGGGATCTGAGCCCAGACAGTCCGGCTCCAGAGACCAGGCTCTTCCCTTTATTCCACACTGTGTCCACTTCTAAGCCTTTTCATGAAACAAGGCTCCCTTTGCCTGAAAATCTCCCCACACAGCAATCACCACCTAATGCTGTGGGAAGCACAGCCCTCTCCTCCAAGATGCAGTTCCTGGTGTCTCGCCAGCAGGACGGTTAGGTGGTGCCTCTGGCACATCCTTCATCACAGCCGCAATCAGGTCACTCTTTTCTGAGTCAGCCTGTCCCTGGAGCCCAGCACAAAGCCCAGAGGCCTCAGGTGTTGTTTGTGAGTGACAGCATGGAGCCAGCCTTCCTCAGCCCGGGGTTCCCTCATCACCTCGCTGTCTCTCCAGCAGGCCACTGAATGTGGGCTGTACCTTTCTGAGTGAAGTCACTGGCTTTGGCAGGGCTTTCCATTTTCCTGCTGAGATTCTCCCAGACAGGCAGGGTTGGGCCCTGCATCCTGAGGAGCCACCCCTCTAAGGGGAGGCCACTCTCTGGCTGGGAAGTAAGGACCAAAATACCTTTTTAAAAAAATTCATTTATTGATTGAGAGAGAGAGAGAAAGATACATAGAGAGATGAAAGATACATAGAGAGAAACAGCAACCCATTGTTCCACCTATCCATGTATTACTGGCTGATTCCGGTATGTGGCCTGGGCGGGGACAGAACCCACAACCTTGGCATATTCAGACAATGCTCTAACCAACTGGGCTAGCTGGCCACGACCAAAAAACCTTTCCTGTAGTTGCTGTTGTTTGCTGTCCCACTGGCTTCCTGCCCAGATCTCAGCTCTCACCTCACTCTCACCTGGGCGGGACCTGTGTTCTACTGACTGCTCAGAGAAAGTGGTAGAAATATCTGGGCTCTGGGTCAGTTTCCAGCTTCGCTGTCTTAAAGCAGTGGAATGTTGGGGGGAAAAATCACTTAATCTCTGAGCCTCAGTCCACTCATCTGCAAAACATGGCTATTGATATCCATGCCCTGCCTCCTTCGCCTTTCTGAAGTGTAAAATGTCGAGAATTCACTCTTTCAACACATTTATTGCACATTTACTATGTCATACATACCATATTGTTTAAATTTCAGTCTTCACAGTAACCCTTTCCCTTGAGGTAGACATTAGTAACCCTCATTTCACAGATGAGGGAGCGAGGCTGGGGAGGGCCACTCGCCGGCCGTGCTGTGCAGAGACGGGCTCTGTGCCGGGCTCCCTGCTGGAGTCAGCTGGCTAGGCTGACCACCTCCACCCGGCCCCTCCCCGGCCCTAGTCCTCAGCGTTTACCTCTCATGCAGATAAGCAGCAAGGGGTGGTTTTTGAGACAGCAAAGATCTTGGTTGCACCTGCTACTGAAACAACACTGAGAAAAGTCCGCGTCTCACTCATTTTTTAGAAAAACTGGGGAGCGGGGCGTCAAGTTTAATCTAGGTGACTCTTTACAGGCACTTTCCTTTCTACGTGTTTGAAAACCTGAGGGATCCTGGAGGGAAGCCCAAGGGATGAACCTGGGTTCCCAAGTCCCTGATTTAGGAAGCTCCCTCAGGGCCCGGTCAGTCCGCATCGCCGAGGTCAGGCTCAGCCCCGCGCGGGAGCCACTCACCCGCACTCCTGAAAGATGTTCGGGTAGTGCCGGAACAGCACCGGCGGGTCCCGGTCATCCCGGACCGGGGCCTGGGGCACAGCGCGGATGCCAGGCCTCCGGCCTCGCCGGCCCCCGGAGCAGGAGCGGTGGATCCACTGGTGCGCGCTGACCGCGAACTTCCTCTTGAAGCACATGCCACACTCGGGGCAGGGGAAGGGCCGCTCGTCCGAGTGCATGCGCTGGTGGCTGACCAGCAGCGACGGGTAGGTGAAGCGGCGACCGCAGTCTGCACACACGTGGCGCCGCTGGCGGGCCTGCGCGCCCCGGCTGGGCCCCGGGGCTGGCGGCGGCGCACCGGCGCCCGGGTCCCAGGCTTTCGTGGGCGCGGGCGGGGGCGGCTTGCCGAGGGCCCAGTCTGGGTGGTGTTGAACCAGCTCCCCGGGCCGATCCTTCCCGGGAGTCTTTCTGGGTCTCTTGGCTCCTGGCACTGCTTTGGGTTCCTCTTCCTTCTTGTTTGGGGCACCTCCTGCGAAACAAGAATCAAGACACATTTTAAGGCACATTTGCTTAGACTGTCTCAGGCCACAGGGTGCCTTTACGGAAAGACGTGCCAGAGAAATACTGCACAGGGACCGACACACAGGCCTCGAAGGACAGCGAACCAGTTCAGTCTCTCCAGCCTCGGGTCCTCGCGTGTCAGATGCGAACCGTGGTGACTCCTTTCCGAGGCTGTTGGACCCATGAAACCAGTGGGAGCCTGTTAGGCACTTGGCCAATGCTCAAGGCGCTGTAGCTATTATCGTTTCCTCCGCTTTCTGTGGGTGAGAGCTGCACAGAGGGGACCTGTCTGCCGGCGGTCACTGCAGGGGGGGGGGGGGGGCAGGCTGCCTTGCTGGGCATGGCCTCCTGTACCAGGGGGGGCAGGCTGCCTTGCTGGGCATGGCCTCCTGTACCACCTCGCTTTGCTTGAGGAACGTGAAAGGCGGGTCTGAAGTCACGTCCATTCTTAGGGGATTTTAGTTGTTCCCGAAAAAGGGACAATGGGTGGTGTTTTCTACCACAAGGACCTGGAGTCCAGCCGAGTGTTGGACTTGGGCTCCTGATTTCCCTACTCGGGTCTCAACATGATGACGCTCAAGTTCTGAAAGCTGTGTGCCAGGTCCGCCTCCTTTCCTCCATTACCAACACCGCGGCTCCTTCCTTCCTCTCGGGAGGCGGGAGGCGGGGAGTGGGGATCTGAAAATAGCCACCTCGCTGGACAGGAAGCCCGGGTGCCGGGTGCGGGGAGGCCCGGGGTCCCTCACCTCGCAGGGCTCCTCCCACGCGTTCCCCCAGCTCAGGATCCTGGGCGGCCGGGCTCCACGCCTCGCTCCCCTGCTCCATCCAAGAGATGAGGTCTGGTTTGGGGCCGGGGCATCCTGGGGGAGAACGGAGCACAGCGCCGGCCTGAGAGGCTGCCCTGGGAGCCGGCACCCCCCCGGGGCGAGGGCGCGTCCGCAGAACCTAAGGTCCACGTGGAGGAGTCCCCATGCTCCCCGCCTGCAGGAGGCGGGCGCGGGTGCAGCGCTCCCACGGGCCCAGGGACAGGGTGGCTGGTGCTGTTGGTGGGACAGTGCGCGGTCAGGGCTCACACGCCTCCGAGCCCCTCTAGCATCTCCTCCGTGAGCCCCAGTGAAGGTGAAGGAGGGGGGCGCCGACCCGGGCCTCACCGAGCGCGCCCAGGTGGCCGTAGGTCTCCCGCATCACGTCCCGGTACAGGGCCCTCTGCGCGGGCCGCAGGCAGCCCCACTCCTCCGGGGAGAAGTACACGGCCACGTCCGCGAAGCTCACGGACCCCGGCTTCTTGCCACCAGGCCGGGTCCCCCGAGCCGTCAGCGCCGGGAGCGGGACTGGGGGCGGCGCCATGGGGTCCGCCAGCCCCGAGCTGCGGCCGCCGGGCCCCCGCCTCCCCGCCCCCGGCTCCGCCTCGCCGTCCGCAGGCCCGCTCCCCAGGCCGCGGCCTCTCCAGCCGGGGCGTCCGGCCGCCGCCGAGGGAAGCGAAGTCGCAGGGACTGGCTGCTGGGGCCGCTGGGGACTCGGGGGTTCTGACCGGGACCCACCAACCCCTCGGTGTTTATTCACTTCCGGGCAGCGTGGCCATAGACTCCCGGGCCGAGGGGCCCGGAAGGGGCCTTCGGAAACAGGGCCACATCCCGGCTTCAGCTGTCGCGGCCGCTCTTGAGGGCGCCGTCCCCTGATCACATCAAACATGGCGCCCGCCTGCCTTCTCTCTCTCCTCGCCCACTTGCCCTCAACTAAAATGGCCACCTTTAGCGGGGAGACGGAACGGAGGGGAGGCGTGAGGGAGCCTTCTTGCCTTCGAGAAAGATGGACGGGCGAGGCGCGCAGCACCTCCCTTTGCGGCGGCCCAGCGGCCGCTGATTGGCCCGAGCGCAGGAGGCGGTGCCGCTGATTGGCCCGAGCGCAGGAGTCGGCTCCGCTGATTGGCCCAAACGCAGGAGGCAGCGCCGCGGATTGGCCCGAGCGCAGGAGGCGGTGCCGCGGGTTGGCCCGAGTGCAGGAGGCGGCGCCGCTGATTGGCCCAAACGCAGGAGGCGGTGCCGCGGGTTGGCTCGAGTGCAGGAGGCGGTGCCGCGGGCCGGGCTGGCGGCCGTTGGGCAGGTGCTCGCTCCTGGAGTCCGGTTGCCTGGCTCTGGAACCGACCGGGACGGGGCGTTTGTGAAGTCCCGGGTGGTGAACCCGACGGTCTTCTCCCCGCCCCTCCCGGCGTCGGGACCCGGCCCCCAGCCCCGCGGGAAGCCGCTCACACCCGGGCCAGACGCGGGGACACAGCGGGCCTGGGGCCGCGGGGCCACCCCCTCCTTGCGCGCTCCGCTCGGCTCGCTCAGCCTCCGCCTGGAGCAGCGGGCGAAGGAATGTGTTTGCTGAGGTTCGAATTGGAATGGGGAAATTGTTTTATTTTCTTTTTTCCCCAAATTAATAAATGCATATGGGTTTAAAAAGTTTTTGTAATGAGAAGATCAGCCATAGCCGGTTTGGCTCAGTGGATAGAGCGTCAGCCTGGGGACTGAAGGGTCCCAGGTTCGATTCCTGTCAAGGGCATGTACCTTGGCTGCAGGCACATCCCCAGTGGGGGGTGTGCAGGAGGCAGCTGGTCGATGTTTCTAACTCTCTATCCCTATCCCTTCCTCTCTGTAAAAAAATCAAGAAAATACATTTTTTTTTAAAAAGAAAAAATCAGTTCCCTGTACCCTTTCCCCCTATTCTCCAGAAGGCAACTACTTTAAACTTTTTATTAATTTTAATTTCATTGTACATACAGTAAAATGCACAGATCTTCAGTGTAAAATTGGCCAAGTTTTGACAAATGTATACAACCATATTTAACCATCAGTCACCCCCAACAAGATATAGGACATTGATGTGACCCCTGAATGTTTCCTTGTTCCCAATTTTTTATTGTGGTAAAATACAAGCCACATAAACCATTACACATCAGCCATTTAAAACTGTACAATTCAGTGGCATTTAGTACATTTATTGTGTAAACCAGTCATTACTTTCATCACCCCTAATGGAAACCACCTACCTGCCCATTGAACCGCCACTCCCATTCTCCTCTTCCTGCAGCCCATGGCAGTCACTAATTTGCTTTCTGTCCCTATCGATCTGCTTTTCCTGGATATTTCACATAAATGGAGCCATGCACTGCGTGTGGCCTTTCCTTCTGGCTTCTGTCTTTAGCATGTGCCGGTACTTCATTCCTTTTTGTGGCTGAGTAATATGCCATTGTATAGATATATCATATTGCCCGTCTGTTGATGGAGGTGGACATTTGGGTTTCCAACTCTTATCTAGTACTGCGTTGAACATGCATGTATGTCCCATAGGTGCCCCAACAGGGGATTAAACCTGCAACCTTTTAAAAAATATATTTTTTTAATTGATTTCAGAGAGGAAGGGAGAGAGAGAGATAGAAATATCATGATGAGAGAGAATCATTGATTGGCTGCCTCCTGCATGCTCCCCCACTGGGGCTGGAGCCCACAACCTAGGCATGTGCCCTTGACCGGAACGAATCTGGGGCCCTTCAGCCTGCAGGCCGTGGCTCTATCCACTAAGCAAAACTGGCTAGGGCCCCTGCAAACTTTTTGGTGTACGGGAGGGCATTCCAACCAACTGAGTCACCTGGCCAGTGAACCATTTCTATGTCCACAATTCAGTGGCATTAATTGCATTCACAATGTTGTGCAACTTTCACTACTATCGATTTTCAAAATGTTTTCTTCACCAAAAAAGGAAACCCAGAACCCATTAAGCAGTCACTTTCCATTCCCCTGTCACTAAGCCCCTGGTAATTTCTCATTTTTCTGACTATGAATTTTCATGTTCTGGTACCTCACACAATATTTGTCCTTTTGTGTCTGGCTTCTTTCACTTAACATAGTGTTTTCAAGGTTCAGCCATGTTGTGGCATGAATCAACACTTCATTCCTTTTTTATTTTTTTAAAATATATTTTCATTGATTTCAGAGAGGAAGGGAGAGGGAGAGAGAGATAGAAACATAAATGATAAGAGAGAATCATTGATAGTCTACCTCCTGCACGCCGCCTGCTGGGGATCGAGCCCGCAACCCGGGCATGTGCCCTTGATCAGAATCAAACCTGGGACCCTTCAGTCCGCAGGCTGACACTTCATCCACTGAGCCAAGCTAGCTAGGGCTTCATTAGTTTTTTTTAAAAAATTGTGGTAATGCATAACATAAAAATTACTATTTTAACAATTTTTAAGTGTACAGTTCAGTGGTATTAATACGTTCATATTGTTGTGCAACCATCACCAGTATCCATCTCCAGAACTTTTTCATCTTCACAAACTGAATCAATAATCAATATATTTCCTTTCTTGTCAACTGTTGTGGTTTTTAAAAATTGAAATATATTTGGCATATAACATTGTGTAAATTTAAAGTGTACATGTTGATTTGATATATGTATATATTGTATTATCATTGTCATTATCACTTTGCTTTCCTTGAATTTTCTAATTTTTTTTTCTCCTTATAACATCTGCCTTTTCTGCTTCTTGAACTTGTTCCAAATTACCCAGGACAGCAGCAAATCTCAATCCCCATTTTCCCCTGGGGAACCGTTCTCCTTAGAGCCCTCAGTCCTTTCTTTCCAAAGTGGGGTCAGCCTCAGCTGCCATGCAGCGTCTTCCCATCCTGCTCTCCTGGGTGTGGCCTCTGTTTCCTACACTCAACATCTTCCTATATTTTAGTTAAGATGGTTCATCCTAATGGATTGTGGCATTGGACCGTAAGTACTAGATGTCTTCATCCCCATGTGTGGAATATTCCTGTAATGAGGCAGGATGCCAGACAGCATTTGTTCAGCATGGGGCTGGTCACTGGAGATAACAAGACCTATGAGGTCTCCGTTGGCGGCAGCCCACAGTCTGGTCTTGGGGACCAGTCCTTGCGTGGCTCTCTAGCACATGCTGAGTCTCCCCTTTGTGTTCAGGGATGTCCTTTGCTGATCAAGCAAAGGTCTTTATATTTGGTCTTTATATTTTCTGGTCATACCCTTGCTGTTGTGTTTGTTTGTTTGTTTGTTTGTTTTTTACCAGGAATACTTTCTGGCTAAAGTGTGACTTCTGCTGACTTAGCGTCTACAATCATATGCTTATTTTGTAACTTTAACTTTGAGGTCTAGAGGTGCCTCACTGCACTCATTATGGTGAATAGTGTGGAACTGGAATAAGGGAAAGTATGTCCTCAGGAAAGAGTCTACTTTTAAACAGGAGGGTCAGCTTTACCTAAAGAGATAGTATAAAGCATTTCACCTGGACCAGAAAATACTTGTGTTTACTCGGGCACTATGTTGTAAATTGATTCTCTTTGCACCAGGGACGGAAAAGACTTATAAGATGGAGCTAAACAACAAACCGTTAGTCAGATTGACACAAGCTTTCAGGACTAAAACTGTCCCATCGTAAGTGGCTGAAGTCATGTGGTTGTTCTTTATCCTGCCAATCAGAAAAACACAAAGACGCTCTTGTTTTCAAATTGTTTTATTGCCCACCAAATTGTAAATATTTGTTTAAGAATCTTGGTCAGATAATTATGAGAAGTTATAAAATAGACAGGAGATAATTATGGTTCATAAATTTTACTTGTCAATAACAGGGTCCATCTGAACTTAAAGGGAGAGCTCAAGTTTCTTGCGTATGAAGCTGTCTTACTTTGAAGTATTTAGGGGTGAAGTGTAATTTCTGCAACTTACTATGAAATACATTAAGATGGAAAAATGAATGGATGGAGGGATAGATGGACTGACACATGATAAAATAAGTACAGCAACATTACAGAATCTAGGTTAACTGCAGAACCTAAGTGATGGACATGAGTATTTACCATAAAACTCTTTCAACTCTTTTGAACCTTTGACAAATTTTATAATAAAGTGTTGGGGACCAGCTCTGCTATTTGTTCTTCAAACTATAAAGACATGTAAGGTGCCTTCACGTATTTTGTCTCTGATGACCCTATGAAGGTGACATTAGCCCCATTTTACAAGTGAGACAACTAAGGTGCAGAAATGTTGAATAATATGCTTAAAGCCACCCAGCTGGTGGGGACTGAGCTGAACCTGGAATCCAGGTCTACTAATTAAGGAGAGGCTGTGTGGTGAAGTAAAAATAGCACCCCATTCCCATTAATAATTATCTTTGGAACCCAAGGGTCCCGAGAAGCAGTCTTTTGCTCAAAGGTATTTGAGTCACCCAGTGCCACTCCTGGCATGCAGACATGCTTACTCTTACCCACCTCCTTGCTTATTCCTTCAACAGTGTCTTGTTCTGAAGTAGAGCGAGCATATCCAAATGGGTCAGAAAGACATCTGAATTGTTGACACGTTACAGAAAAAATTAGACTGAAGATACTATGCCTTGATTTCAACTCTTAATTATAAGTAATTATTATTATTGCTATTTTAAATATATTTTATTGATTTCAGAGAGGGAGAGAGAGACAGAAACATCAATGATGAGAGAGAATCATTGATAGGCTGCCTCCTGCACGCCCCCTACTGGGGATCGAGTCTGCAATCCTGGCATGCGCCCTTGACCAGAATCGAACCCAGGACCCTTCAGTCCGCAGGATGACGCTCTATCCATTGAGCTAAACCAGCTAGGGCTCAAGTAATTATTTTTTTAAAGTCCCTAACATTATATATTTCCAGCTGCTGTGGCCCAAGAATACATCGAGAAGATGTAAAATCCAGGAAACATGCAGATACATGAAGAAGAAGAAACACTGCAACCACGAATCCATAAACGGGGACATTTATATTCATTAAGCTTAATACTTTGCA